AGGTGATCAGCAGTGAGAATCTAACCTGGGTCCTTTCAGTTGTGAGCCAAGAATTCTACCACTGTTACTAGTGTATGAAAATTATAATACATGCACAGTACTTTCCTTTGTACTTATACTGAAATATATTTCTGATGTAAAGCGTGAAATTGCCATTATATATTTGTCCTAATTATCAATATTTTACCAGGTTCCATCATTTTAAATTTAATTATATCCCTAACCATTATTAAATTACGTATCTTCATATTTGCTTTTTAATTATTTTGGAGTTAAATTACATTTTAATATTAAATCTTAATGTCTTTTAACAAAATACTCAGTTTTCAGTATTACAGCATTACAGTATCTAATTTTATATACAGTATCCATTTAATTTTGTATTTTTATACTGCTAGTGTTAATCCAGACTGTAGACTGTCTGAAATGCTATGCATGAAACTGGACTTTTCTTGTAAGATATATATTATATACGGTACTGTTAAGCTATTGTAACTCAGTGTTTCTTCTTGATAAACAAAATGATCTTATAAACAAATAATTAAATAAATATTTAAAGTTTCCTTATATAATTAGATGAAATTTTTTGCCGAGACTTTTTTATGAGAAAAGCTGTCATAGTGTATGTGATGTCAGTGTTTGTGGCCTTATTCTGAATACTCTACAGTACTTGGTGATGTCCTAACACTGAACAGTTTCTTCTAAATGTTTAATTTTTAGCCTAGGTATGTAACTCATTATCACAGGTTGAAGTTTCTGTAAGTACTGTATATGTCAAGAGTGCATAAATCAAAGACAGCAGATGAATTTCACCTGTAATGTGCATTGCAACAGAGCTATTGATGAGGGAGTGATTTCAATGTGTCACCTCTCTTTACCAGAACTATTGTCAATGCATTTATGTCACCATATGCATAGCAGGACAATGAAATGTCTCCACTCCAATCATGGATTGTATTTATACAAAAGAGGTGGGATCCAATGGTTACAACAGACCTCAAACTACCTCCCTAGATATGGCTCAACCGGACAATGTAAGGTTGTAGCCTTCTGTCTAGGTGGTACAGGGTCAGTCATCGTCCTCTCTCATGCATGGAGGCACCACCACTTTCTGGGGTTTATTCTTCAAACAAAGGTATTTTAATTAGCTCATTGCAGCACTGTATGACCTATACAGGTTTAGTCCTTGTGACTGAATGTGATACTAATATGTAGTTCGTGAATTTTGGTTAACAGACAAAAATATTTCTGCTTGGTCAAAGAGCTGGACACTGGTGTGTGAGAACCCCAATATAAAGTCAGAGAATACTAAAGTTAAAATAATTTCCTCAGAAGCAAGAAATGTTGCTTCCTTAATGAATACAAAGTTGAGTTTCTTGTCATGTATTCCTATAATTTTTAAGTTCATTGATCTCTCTATAATGATCATGTCAGTATTTATCATAATTCATATTCTAAGCAACCAAAATATGTAGTACAGTATAGAAGATAATGTTACTTCTCACTTATGGAATATCTGTACTGTACTATAATATTGTATTAAGAGATAATCTATAAACTATTTATGGTACCTTTTCAGGAAAGTATTTACCGATGTTGTCTCTAGTTTATCACATTACGTACAGTATTGTGTATGTTAATGCAGAATGAGCAGAAATAAATGTCGTGTGCATAAACTAAGGCACTAAAAAATTTCTAACGAGTTATAGTACAGATAATTTTTCCTTTAAATATTTTTTTTTCCTTCAATCTTGTATAAAAATTTTTTTGCATTATAGGACAGTATAACATTAGAAATTTATATACAGGTATTGTTTTTATATTTTCTTGTTACTGTACATTTCAAATTTTGTTATTCTTTGTTCAGTGTGTTCAGAAAACCTCAAGACTTAAGACAGTGGTATCTGGAGAGATGGAGAGAGAGTGAGAGAGAGGAGAGAGAGGAGAGAGAGAGAGAGAGAGAGAGAGAGAGAGAGAGAGAGAGAGAGAGAGGAGAGAGAGAGTGAGAGAGAGGGAGAGAGAGTGAGAGAGAGAGAGAGAGAGAGTGAGAGAGTGAGAGAGTGAGAGGAGAGAGAGGAGTGAGAGAGAGAGAGAGAGAGAGAGAGAGAGAGTGAAGAGAGAGTGAGAGAGTGAGAGAGAGAGAGAGAGAGAGAGAGAGAGAGAGAGAGAGAGAGAGAGTGAGAGAGAGAGAGAGAGAGAGAGTGAGAGAGAGAGAGAGAGAGAGAGAGAGAGAGAGAGAGAGAGAGAGAGAGAGAGAGAGAGAGAGAGAAGAGATGAGGAGAGAGAGAGAGAGAGAGAGAGAGAGAGAGAGTGAGAGAGAGAGAGAAGGAGAGAGAGATGTGAGAGAGAGAGAGAGAGGTGAGAGAGAGAGAGAGAGAGAGAGAGAGAGAGAGAGAGAGAGAGAGAGAGAGCACGAGAGAGAGCACCTTTTAGAGGGCCAAAAGATTGACCTGTGACTAGTTTGAAGTGATTTATTTTATTCTTGCAACCTGGCCTAAGGGCAGACTGACTTGTTGGTTTTGTAATCAACCAGGCTGTTGCTGTTAGCTCTTCACTAGGCCACATAGTTATCACAGCCTGACTGAGCTGGTTGATCTAAAAAAAAAAAAAAAATTCTCCCTATAACCAGCAGAATTCTCACTTTGCAGTGTAAGTCGTAAGCTGATTATCACACTCGTCAACAGCTGGGAGGAACTGGGCCATACTTAGATCAGTGATTTAATTTTCACTTGCTTTAATTTTAACAAGACATGGCATAATTTATGACAGGTAGACAAATTTGTATATATGTACTGTAGTAGTTCATGTCCCACCAAAGAGGCTCAGTAAGAGTGGTGATATTGTGCTGTACTAATATTCAAGACTGCAGTGATACACCTACCATTGGTAATATTTACACCATGTGTGTGTTGGTGTGATGAAGAGAATTAATAAAATATTAATAAAAGCGTGCAAAATAAGCAGAAGTGTGTCTGGGCCCTCCCAGGGATATGAATTATGTTATGGCAAGACTTGCTGCTGTATGGGCTCTGGGCAGAGAGCATGTGTTGTTTCATGAAATTATACCAAACAGTGTAAGTGATACCAGTGGTGATATACAGCCTGCAAAGTAGACTATATTATAACCTGATGAAGACAGTATATAAAAAAAAAACATGAGTAGAACAATCAGAAACATGTTAGAAACAGTTTTGTACATGTTAACACACAGTTCCTTTTTAAGAGAAACAATGTTCTCCAGCTTAAAATAAACCACTTAATTGGTTCATATATTTTTGAGGAAGTGTTGCTAACATTTTATATGCTGGGACATATTGCAGATGTGATTTGTTCCACAACTGCATGTGATTAATATCATTGTTTGGTGATTTTTCTACAAAGGAATCTGTGTGTGTGTGTGTGTGTGTGTGTGTGTTATGTACATACTTTTAGAGGTATGACATTGAAAAATATAGAAAATTATAATTAACTTAAGTTGGATACAATCATAACAAAACAAATAGAAAATAATAATATATTAGAAGTGTATTTTAACACACCTTCAGTATATACCATGTTTGGGCTTTGTGCAAGATTTCATCAAATTCTTCTCTGGGCCTGTTGCTGCAAGATTTTACTTCATTAAAGGGTAACATTAATGTTTTTTATTGTAGGATTTTCTGATTTTTTTTTCTATAGCTTACTTTTATATAAGAAATTTGAAAAAAAAAAAAAAATCTCTGGGGCTGCGTAAGGATTAGTAAGATCTCCCACAAGCCACAGTTTAAGGGTTAATTTTTTTCAAACTGATAAATTAGTTTCCTAATGAATGTCAGTAGTCCATTGAGTAGGATATGTATCCTTCACTGAGGTGGAGGACTTTCTTCTGGGCACATGAGAATGTTTTTTATGTTTCCAAACACGTACATGCGTCTCATAATAGATAATGCCCTAAGCCACAAGTCTTGCCTTGTCAGGTATGTTTAGGTTGAAGAAGTCGCAGGTAAAGAGGATGCTTTCATTATGACAGTTGTGTATAGCAGTTGTATACACACGGAAATGTTGACCCAATGAAAGCGTACCCCAGTGTCTTTTCCTCAGTAATGTTGGCAGTACCCCTTTGTACCCACTGTTTATAGTGTCAGGTTTTCTTCATGAAAATTTTCTGCTTAGTGTTGACTATCTCTTCATTCATATTTTTGGTGTATGTTCACATGTACAGTATTTGTTCTACATACAGTGGACCCCCGCTTAACGATTACCTCCGAATGCGACCAATTATGTAAGTGTATTTATGTAAGTGCGTTTGTACGTGTATGTTTGGGGGTCTGAAATGGACTAATCTACTTCACAATATTTCTTATGGGAACAAATTCGGTCAGTACTGGCACCTGAACATACTTCTGGAGTGAAAAAATATCGTTAACCGGGGGTCCACTGTACTTTTAAAATAGACTAAGATCAGTACATCTTTAATGCCCCCAGGTAAGTAAAGACACTGGAGAGATCACATATAAACCAATATTTAGAGAGGACATGCATCCATTATCAAGGATGAATGCACTGTCTTTAATTTTCTTCTCCAAATGTGGGTTAGTTGTGATTGTTCTTGCCACAGTATTGTGTTTTTGTTACTCATTACAGTGGTAGTATTTTTTTCATCTCCATGTACAGTACACCCTGAATTTAATGGACTTAGAGAAATATGGGACAAAATCCATTAGGTCATTTTATTCCAAAACAACAAACATCTTTGTTATTATTACAGTCTTAGCAGAACAATCTCTCTACCCACATTCACTACTACCAGCCACCTTCTCTGCTCTTTTAATCTGTTAAATTGAATGTTTACTGTCATTCATTCATTTTTTGTGCACACTTGAGTTGCATAGTTTTATACAATTGAATGTTTTATAATTTCTAATAAATAATTTTCCCATTTTTTATTTTTCCCTCAATTTGGCACTTAATGCTGTTGAAAAAAGTCTTTCATTTATTTCCTAATAAATTTGGTATTGCAGAAAAATAAGAAATGTCCAAAGCAGAGAATAGCAGTGATGGTCCTCCAAGAAAGGTTCCCCGTTTAGACAGCGAAGAGGACGACAGCAGACAGTCATGCGCAACAACTGGAGGTGGCAGCCAGAGCCTGGATAAAGAAGAAGCATCGTGGGCATGGGCAGGAACTGGATGTGCGTCAATTGCAAAAATGTTCACTGTTCCTTGTAGCATATGTACAGGGAACACTTGTAGAATATTTTTCATTATTTGCTAGAGTTTTTCCCACTGCTTATTTTCTGCAATATTTTGAGAATGCTTCTTAGTATTGGTTTGTAGTTTGGGAGTGTAGCCCCCTGGAGGCAGGTTTTGTAGCAATATGCAGTGATTGGAATTACATGAAACACTACAGTACCCATTCCTTGATCTCGTAGAATGTTCATGATTGTCTGAAATAAAATGCGTCGTCTAAAATTATTTTGCTAGAGCCGTTTTTCTGAAGATTTGTCACACTATTATTAGTTTTTGGTCAATATTGTAAAGCTGGTTCACTGTGTATTATGACATTGCTTTAAAATTTATAGGCCATTGTGATGTTCAATATTGCGTAATTCTCAAGTCCCTTGGCTATAAAAATGGAAAGGTTAAAGATTCTTTAAGTAAGGTGCTCCTCTACTAATGATGGGGTTGTGTTCCAAAGAACCCATCGTAAGTTGAAAATATTGTATGTCAAATGTGAATAGGCCCCTCAAGGGAGATTCCTTGATGCTGGTGAGGGACTCTTGATCTAGGGAATTGGATCTGTGCACCAGTTTCCTGAATTGAGTCTAAATGCCTTCCACCCCGTCCTCCCACATGTGCTGTATAGTCCTATAGATTTAGTGTTCCCCATGATTATAATAATAATAATCAAATGTGAATATATATGATGAATAAATAAGTAAATAATTAACTGCTGCCACTGAATAAGTAAATAAATAATTACTCAAAATACCAGTATTGAAAAGTAAATAACTGAATACAAGTTTATCTTATCAATAAATGTACAGTACTGAATTTGCATCGCTATCGCACCATCATAACATCGAAATATCATAAGTTGGACCATTGTAAAGCGAGGAGCATCTGTAGTTACAGTGTCACAAACTCATTGCTTACATTCTTCATATAATTTTTTTTTGCTCTTACAAGTAGCATCCTCCCTCTGTCACTTCCAAATTCATTGGAGATGCTAGACATGCATGGTTATATCATGGAGGGGACTAGTGAGTTTAGCCTTTTCAAGGGAGGCTCCTTAGCGTGGTGAAGAGGCTCTTGGTCTGAGGAATTAGACCTGTCGGTCTCCTTCCTCTGACTGAACCTAATTACCCCCCAATCCTCCGTTCCCTATCCCATCCTCCCCATCCTCAACTTTTTCCTTTCCTCCTCCTCCTCCCCACCCCTCCCTTTTGCCCTTCCTTTTTGGCCTTTGGGATTTTTTTTTTTTTTTTCCCAGAGGCACGCTAGTTCCTAGGTAGGGGAAAGGGTACTGGGGTCCATCCCATTCCGTTGAGGTTCTTGGCGGTGGCGTAGTTTGCCGTGGAATCTGGATTGCCTGGGGATGTCCCGATCCCTCTCCGGTATCCCGGAGGGTGGCTTTGGGTGTGTCTCGGGCGACGGGTGTATCTCTGGAAGCCACCTTTTGGATTCTGGGGGTGGTTGCTGAAGGAGGTATGCTTTGTGGCGGATTTCCAGCCGCCCCCTCTTTTGTCCACCGAGGTAGCTCAGCAGATGTGAGGTTGCTATCCCGGATTGCCGGTTTACTGGCATGATGGGTAGGGTATGGCACGGGTTCCATGCTGCATCTGCGCTACTTGCGGTGCTGAGGTTCTCTTGGGCGTGGAGGGAGATTTCTGGCCCTTTCATTCCTCCTAGGAACTATCCCTCCCCGGTCCCCCCTTTTTTTATTCTTTTTTTTATTTTTATTTTCTTTTCTTCGTTCTTTTTTTTTTTCTTAAAAACAAAAAGAAAAAAGTAACCTAACCATGGCAGCCCTATTCCATGAACCTGCTACCTCCAGGCCCCTTCTTGATACCGCACCCCGTTCTGACCCCGCCTCGTCTTTGGACCACTCTTCGGACACTCCTCATGCCTCTGTACCTCTTGCCGGTGCTGTTTCCTCGCCCGCTTCAGGTACTGAGGCCTCGACTGACTCCTTCGATTTATCTGACCTTCGCTCTCCTCTGACTATGCTTCCGGCCTCTCCCTCTACGGTGCGGCAATTTTCGAATCGCCGGCCCGTTCCACGTCGGACCAACTCTGGTCCCATGCCTAAACGCCAACGACAATTACCTGCTGATGATACTTCTCCACCTTCTCGTTCTTCTCAGAAAAGATCGACACGTCCTTCACAAACCTTTTCCCACGCTCAGTTTCAGACTGCTCAATGGACTAAATTCTTCACTTTACGACCGACTTCCTCTACTGCCTATCTTTCTGACCACAGTATTTGGCAAGGCACTCCTACGCCATGTTGGTAAAGATATTTCTTTTCATGCTCTTAAGAGCGGTACGCGCATCATCACCTTACAGAATGCTACCCAGGCTCATGAGCTTTCTCGTCTTTCCCATATCGATACTGTTCCTGTCACTATTGAAAAACATCATTCCCTCAATTCTTGTAGTGGTACCGTCATTCTGCCCCATACCATAGTTCAACAAAATTTCCAGACATGTGGCACTGACATTCTTGAACAGCTGGAACTCCAAGATCTCCCAATCCTCAAGGTAGACACTTACGTTCTTCCTGCCCGCTGGCGGAGACGATACCCTAGCAATGTGGCTCGTTTAACTTTTGACAGCCGTGAACTCCCATCCTCGGTTTATGTAGCAGGACATCGGTTGCAAGTTCGAAAGATGATCCCTACACTGCAACAGTGTAGAAATTGCTGGCGATTTGGCCATCCAGCGAAATATTGCAGATCTATCGCCGAATGCCCGGTCTGTGGTGCCGATGATCATTATGTCTTGCAATCGACCTCCCTCTTGCCTTAATTGTCATGAGGCTCACCCTTTGTACTCTCGCCGTTGTCAAGTCTACTTAAACGAGCGGGAAATCCGTTACTTCAAAGAGGCAGAAGGTCTCCCTTATGCCATGGCAGTTTCTCATCTCCGCCTCCAAGGGAGACTATCTCGTGTTTCTTATTCCCTTGTTTGAAAACGTTCCCCCACTTCTGGGATCCCATCTTCTGCAACCACCTCTGTGGTTACCTCTCCCATAGTCACTCCTGTATCTAATTCTTTTGCTGTCCTAGGCTCAGACGTCCCTACTTCAACGCCTCAGTCTGATCTCGCTTCTTCGTGTTCTCCCTCACAAGCCTCAGTAGCGACGAGATCTCGTATGACACCTCCTCCTAATCGTCCCTCTACTTCTCAAAAGTCAAAAAAAGGTCCGTTAACACCTACCCATCTTCCACCTCCTCATTTTACCTTCCCTGTCTCTGTACCTGGTTCTTCCCCTCTCACTGGCTCTGTTACAAGTGTAGAGGTTCACCCTCCTCCTCATACTGTACCTTCCTCCCCTGTTCCCTCCCAAGTTTCTTCCTCTTCTGCCACCTCCCAGGTTTCTGCCTCTTCTGTCCCCTTCCACGCTTCTCCAGTTCCCTCCACCCTTTCGCCCCCCCTACCTTGGTACAGTCCATTACAGTTCCAATCTTTACTCATCCTCCCCCTACCATTTCCAATATTGTCTCCCATACGACGTCTCTGAATTCTGAAACACTTGAAGCAATCTCTGAATATATTGCAGAGACCAAACCATAAATGGACACTGATCCACCCTCCGTTCCTTCTCTCTCCTCTGCTCCATCTGCGCAACTCCTTTCTTCACAGCGCACCATTCCTTCGCTGCTTGAACGTTTTCCACTGCCTCCGCATGTGGACTTTTCTAACCCCTCTAGTCCGTAGGAACCCTTACCTGCGGATTTCAGGTATCTTTATCATTGCCAATCATGGCCTATTTACAGTGGAATATACGCGGCCTCAGGGGTAATCGGGGTGAGCTTCAGATGTTACTCTCCCAGTTTTCCCCTGTTGGTGTTTGCTTACAGGAACCAAAATTACACTCTGCTGTTATCTCTCCCATCTCAGGCTATAATTTATTGTATTCTTCAGATCCTTTTCCTGATGGGACCTTTAATGAAAGTGCCCTTCTTCTACGCACTGATATTCCGTACCATCAGCTATTTGTTCGTACTTCGCTGCATAGGTGGTATACGCTCTGTTCTTTATATCTCTCTCCTTCTCGGGCATTATCTATTCCGGATATTGCCTTTCTTGTTTCGTCATTACCGCCACCGATTCTGTTACTTGGCGATTTTAATGCCCACCATTTCCTCTGGGGGGGGTCTCACTGTGATTCCCATGGCATTCAGTTAGAGGCTTTTCTTGCCACCCACCCCCTCCATGTTTTAAATATAGGTACTCACACCCATTTTGATCCTCGGACTCACACTCTTGCATCGATCTCTCAGTCTGCTCTTCCTCCGCCGCATTAGACTTCACTTGGTCTGTTCTCCCGGACTTACATGACAGCGATCATTTCCCAATCATTCTTACTTCCCCTTCATATTCACCACCTCTTCGCATCACATGCTGGCAATTTGATCAGGCAAATTGGAACCTTTACTCACACCTAACTGTTTTTAGAGAGGGTTTCCCTTTTCGTCCTCCATCGATGAGCTTTTACACCTCTTCTCGTCCTCCGTTTTAACCGCAGCTTCTAATTGTATACTCCAAACTTTGGGCAGGCATTCTCAGAAATGCGTGCCTTGGTGGTCTCCTGCTTGTACTCGTGCAGTACGTTTGAAACGCGCTGCATGGGGCAGGTACCGGTACAATAGAACCACAGAGAGACTTCTTGATTTTAAGCAGAAGCGTGCAATCGCTCGCCGTGTCATCCGTGACGCTAAACGCACTTGCTGGCGAGATTATGTCTCCATCATCACCTCTGTTTCCTCTATGAGTGCAGTCTGGAAAAAAGTACGAAAACTGAGTGGTAAATATTCTCCTGATCCGGCTCCTGTTCTGCGGGTTGCCAGTGTTGATATAGCAAACCCACTAGATGTTGCCAATGAAATTGGCAATCATCTGGTCCGTATTTCTCAGGGACTCCATCTGTGCCCCTCATTTCTTTCCTCAAAGTCTGCCAGAGAGT